GTTTTTAATTATTTCGTTGAGAAGTCTTCGATACTATCAAGATTATCAAACGATCAGACCAATAAACAATCCGAAACAGAAAAAGAGAAAATAAATAAAAGCGAGAAATTTAGGTTAATAAAAATGCGTAAAATCAGTATTCAGATGAATTTTTTATGGCATTACGGGTAAATAAAAATAGCCGTAATTTTGAAGATTACTAGCTATAGCTACTAGCTAGAGGCTACTAGCTAGAGGCTACTAGCTAGAGGCTACTAGCTAGAAGCTACTAGCTAGAAGCTACTAGCTAGAAGCTATAGCTATAGTAACATGTATTAAAAATGCCGAATGCAAATTTCCTTTTTAAGGTATTGCGAGGAAATTGTTTTGACGATCCTCTGCATGAAAATAACACAAACTGACAAAAATAGCTGAGGTATTAATCATATAGGGTAAAGGATATTTACACTGCATGACCACATACGATGAAATTATTACATCGCATGACCGCATATGGTAAAGGATACCGGTCAAAATTAAGTAGGGTTAATAAAAAGTGATAATCTTGGCGTTGGAAATCAGACAAAAAAAAAAAAACAAGCAAGTTAAATATTTTGGCAATTAAAGATGTAATTTACTTTAACTATTGTTACTTCAATCAATTATACATTTTTACAGTGTCGAATTTAAAATCAACTTAAGTTGCTACATATTAAATTTAACGATTTATTACAGTAAACATATCAAATTTAGAATCAATTTAAGTTACTTTTAGACTTCATATCATTTTAACCAAAGTGGATTCATAATTCTATTCCGACGTACGACATAGATAGATACATAGATACATGTGATATTGCTGTATTGCTTAAAAATATAGACCCGAGATACTATTGCATTAGCTTGTATAAGATAGTAATGGTGTTATCTAAAATTTATAGTTAACAATGATATAGTAAAATGTATTTATTCTTTCGCGTAGATATGCGGTCTGGTTTTGTTGTTTCTAAGTTTATAACAAAACTGTATACAGTATTTCAAATATCTGGATACCCGTAAATTTTAAATAGGAAAACGCTATTAAATTTTTTTGATTAATTGATTGGTTGATGTTACGTTTTGAGCTAATATATTCTTATAAATTTTAAATTTTTATGCTTCTTTCGGCTTTTAAAATTCGCTGTTTAAGGTTTACTGATTCTAAAGGGAAATCGATTATGTACTTTCCTTAAACAGATAAAAAAGCTAAAATCAACCACAAACTCTTATAATTCCATGTTTCGGAGGTATTTTCTTGTCCGTTAAGCTCGATGGAACACATCTTTACATCTGTTACTATAATTTGTTCCATGTTGCGGAGGTGTCTTTTAGTTAAGCTCGGCGTACATCTTTGCATCTATTTACTATAGATAATAGTAAGTATTTAAATTTACAAATAAAGCCTCTAGATTTAGATTTTTAAAACACAATAACAATATTAGCACCTACAGTAATACTGATAATTTATTTCTATTATAGCATTTCAAATAAAAATACAATTTACGATAAATTCTTTAGTACTCGATTACGAGTAATATTTATATTTTATAGATCAGAAATTGCATTTTATATTACTGATACTGTTTGTAAATTTCGATTATTAATGATTATAGATACGTAAAAATTGTTTTATTGCTCACAAATATTTTTGTTTCGAAAATTTGAAAATATAGATAAATCTGGGTTAGGACAAAGAAAACGTAAAGTTCAATTGCTAGATTTTTATCCTGGCCGTTAATATTAAAATTGCCTAGTTTATTTTCACTTTGTAAAGGGGGAAAAAAAGCAAATTGACATTACTGCGCTTTTCAAATTACTGTGTCCGCTAATTCTCATACACCACACCGGAAATCAGAAATCTAGAATAAATGCAAATCTGTGATTGGTTAAAAATAATTTTTAGCCAATTACGTATTGGCATTTTTTCTAGATTTCTGATCCCAGTGTGATGTATGAAAGTCAGTGGACACAGCAATTTGAAAAGCGCAGTAAAATAATTTCCTCAAAAAAACATTCATCACCGAAATTCACTCAAATAGTAATCACTTAATCAAAATTTGTCTTTTTTTATTATAAACATCACAATAAGAGACGTTGAATGGTTCAATAATAGATGTTACTGATAAGTATCTTTATCTGAGTGATACGAAAACCAGATTTCTGGCTTCAAGTTTATTATTTATTATTTTACCAGACTCAGCTCTGACTAAAGACATATATATGATACGTAGTTAAATTTAATTACGCATTATAACGTCGCTGCTGAGTCTGGTAAATAAAAAATAATAAACTTGAACGTCAGAAATCCGGTTTTCCCTTGGCGTCACTCATTTAATGTGTGTTGGTTTTCTTTTTCTCTAAAAACCTTAATATACCCGATAATTATATATAGCTTAAATAGCCAAACCATATTTTTTAGTCTCAGTTATATTAATAATAAATATTAAAATCACTCCGTATAAATACTATGACGTTTTGTAATTTATATAAATATCAATCTTGAACGAGCTTTGTTCTTTATTTCTTACTTTTCATTCGCACCTTTCATTTGCACTTTATAAAAAAACAATGTCAATTGCTGTATCGACCATAGATACCCCTTTAACACCCAAAACTTCAAATAGTATATCGACACCTTCATCAACACCATCAACCCCAGTTATCGATAATACAGGGTCACAAGATCAAGGCACCGAAATAACTTCTGGCAAAAATGTTGAGCAAAACGTAAATAAACCATCAAATATTGTAGGTGTGAAAGAAAGGACACCGCTTCATGAAATAAATTTTAATAGCCCTATAAGAAAGGATTGCATAACAAGAAGGCCACGAAAAAAACATCCAGTGAAGAAGCAAAACCCTAGTAACAATGATCAAAGCAACATGAATAAAATTTCAGGTATCCATCCGGCTGCGCCAATAATTACTGATGGATCAGAGACAAGCGAACCACAAACACAAATGCAAATTTCGGTGAAACGTAAATCAAAACAACTCGAGGATGACGATGATGAGAAAGAGTCGCCTAAAAGAAAAAGATCTACAAGGAGAAATAAAAATGACAAAAATTTACCAAAGAGACCTGCTAATGCGTATTTTCAATTTATAGCCCTTAAAAGGTACGTAGTTATATAATTAAGCTGTATATATATATATATATATATATATATATATATATATATATATATATTTGTATTGGATTTGGTCAAATTTGGCTTGAAATTTGTATGAATAGGGCAGAATATACTAAAAAATATCCGGAATTGAGCGCACAAGATGTAACTGTATTCCTTGCCAAGACTTGGAAGTCAATGTCAAACGCAGAAAAGAAAGTAATATCAAATAATTCTTATGTTTGGGTTAAAGTCGTGTGTATATATATGCAATGAATTAAATTTTATTTATTTATTTATTTTTTTAGCCATATGTTAAAATAGCGCATGAACAAAAAGAAAGGTACAAAAAGGAAAAACAAGAATATTATGGCATGGTATGGTACAAGATCCTGATAAATTTTATACATTTGAAGACGAAAATTTAAATTAAATACTCGGCTAGTTATAAAATAGGACAAACTAGAGAAATTAAATGATGAAGAACAGGATGCACCTTATGATATCGATCCATTCCCTCAATATCCTGATTTTCAATCAATGCTCAATGCCCCACTATCTTTTGGTCCATTTGAATCTATCTCAGAGGCATCTTTCGATGGTGATTTTCATGACCAGAAAGTTAATGACAATCCGCCTGTGTTGGTGAAATACGAACCACGGAGCCCAACTTTGCTTTACGTGAATAACAATTCTCCCAGTACTCCATCGCAGCCTCAATATTTTCCCAGTAATCCCAGTACTCCATCGCAGCCTCAATATTTTCCCAGTAATCCCAATACTCCATCGCAGCCTCAATATTTTCCCAGTAATTCCAGTACTCCATCGCAGCCTCAATGTTTTCCCAGTAATCCTATTCATACCTATGTCGATAGAATACAACAAATGTCATCGATATCTCAACAACCTTACAAGCAATTCCAATTTGAATTCCAAGTTGAATCCCAATATGTACCACCCATTAAATCTGAATTCGTTTCCGTCCAAAATAACAATAATTTAAATATGACATCGCAACAAGAGTGTTTGCAGACACAAAGTACACCAATCCAACCAGCTATGCAACAAATTCAAGTACCTCGACAAATGCGATATTCTCAGCAAATACCGACCAATTCGAACATGATATCAATACCGCAAACTCCAAATATGTTACATGCCCAAATTTCACGACAAACGCAAACTCCAAATATGTCACATGCCCAAATTTCACAACAAATGAATAATGGTTCATCATCGCAGTCTTTGAATCAACAGCAACAAACAGAAAAGCAGTTACGTTCTAGGCAACAACAAATGCCATATCAAACATGGCAGCCTACGTTAATGTATTCTCCAGATATGAGTGGACAGGCAAGCCAACAGATGATGATGGGACAAATCATGCCACAGCAAATGCCTCAGCAGATCCCTCAAAATATGCGGCAACGACTTTGGCAAACAATTCCAAATCAAACGAATAATCAATTTTCATCATATATACCAACCCAACAATTTGCCTGGCAACAACAAAATAGATCAATGTATAATTCATTGAATAATCAACAACATATGTTAAGTCAAATAGATACCCATATGAGGCCACAAATACAAACTAATCCACAGATGAGATGGTATTAATGTAAAAATACCAATGTAGATAGATGCATAAATTATTTAAAGCCTATGTATTTAATAAGAATCACATGAAAATATAATCCGCTTGCTTTATGATTTCTAATTGATATATAATACGTATATTTGATATGATTTCTAATATATTTATTATGTTAGATTGATATATGATATGTATATCTAATATGGTTTCTAATATTTATTATGTTATACTGATATATGATATGTATATTTGATATGGTTTTTAATATTTATTATGTTAGATTGATATTTTATTATGTTATATTGATATATGATATGTATATGATTTAGAATGTTATTTAATTCTAATAACACAATTCAAAGCATCGTCATTCGTACTATTATTATAATGATTTATGTATATACATTCCTATTAAACAGTCTTTGTTCTATAAAATTTCTAAATTGTTGTTTATTCATGCTTGTAATGTACAGTATCCTCCAAAAGTTTATCACGGTTACACAAAAACAAATGTGATATACGCAAGTTGTGAAAATATCTTGAAGATAATGTTCAGCAACAAAGACCACAACCAAGAATATATGGAGCGTTGAAAACAGCACTTTTAGAGGAATGAATACGTATGCTTGATCATCAATTTTCGTGAACTTAATAAATAATATTCCAAATCGTATGCCGAAGTTATTTCATATTATTAATTTGCGTAATAATAATATATTGCTAAATTTGCATATTTACAAAATTTTATATTAAGTTTTTTGTGTAACCGTGATAAACTACTATGTAATAAATAAAAAATAAAGCATTATAAAAGAAACTTTTGAGTTATATTTTAGAAACATTTTAGGTGATTATAATTGAAATAATTATTATTTATTTGAAAAAGGTATTTGTTATTACAAGTGAATCTCGATATAAGAAACCTTCGATATAAGAAATACTAATTAAACTCTTGATATAAGAATGTCAAGCCAAAACCAGTTTATAATAAATCCACTAGATATAAGAAAGTTATTATAAACTCTCGAACTATGGATTCGACCGATTTACTTATTTGCGCCGGTGATACAAACCAAAAAGGAAAAAAGAAAAAATATCCTTTTTTATTGGCACAAATAACGCATGAGAGTCACGATATCAGGGTTAGTAGTAAAGGTAATATATACTAAAATTTTGCAAGGAATTTTTTTTATTAGAACGTTAAAGGTGATTTCTTAGGCAGAATTTTGAGCTATCGGCTATTTTTTAAAAAAGCTTTCATTTTAATGTTACACCAACTGTTACACCTGATCTTGCGATCTACATAAGAAAATTTCCTTATTTGGTTTGTGACTTCACTTGTTTTCTTTGTAGCATGATGGAAATTTGTTTTCATTGGTCAATCTGCAAGAATTCAGATTGACCACACCACGTTATTACTACCGTAAAAGTGCATATACAAGATCCACCGTGAATCAGACCCAGGGCTATATATATCGATAAAAATTTTGGTAAAATGAAACAGACCCGGTTATATTATAGGATACAATGATTAAAATATCGGTCAAATGTTTTAAGGGATCTGTAAGTTGCAGCACATAAAAAATTTTATAGGTTTTGTGAAAAAAGATGGTTTTCACTTCTAGGCTAACATAGTATTCTTTATATAATATTTTATATTTTTATACTATCTATATTTTTTCCTTTACGCCAAAAACCTTTGAAGTATCTTATTTTGAAAATGGCGTTTTGAGACCATCGACGAAATTAAACTCGAAATTTGATTGGTTGGTATTCACCTTATTATTTACGTAAACTCAATGCTTTTCTTTTGCGTTATAAGCCAAATATAATGGCTATACATTTAACATTTAATCATTCTCATTTATTTATTTTATTGAATATAGATTAACTTGTCATAATCCATTTAAAGATCTAAACTGGATTCGCTTTCAAGACGTGTTCGAACCCAATCATTGTTTAGAGGTTTTTGTTTATTACATATTTTAATATAGTAGTCCCTTGATAATGGCCAAATGGTACTTAAATTTCATTTAGAAAATGTAAAGAGGCCAATTGTCTCATTATTTTTATTTTCTAACTAGATATTATCCTAAGGATTGATTATAAAATATTGATCACAGTTTTGAGATAAAATATAATTTTGATTTTGATTATACTAACTGTTGAGGTTCTTTTGAGAACCAACTAAGAACATAAAATTTATAATTTATGTTCTATATGATATATAAGGTAAAAGGGGTATTTTGACGAAGGGGGTGTTGTGGCGAATTTAGTTTATCTCGTGTCTAATGATCCAAATCGGATGATTTTTATACCATTTGATTCATCTCACAGAGACGAATCGAATGGTGGTTAGATAATCTAATTCTGACCACTAGATCACGAGATATTAACGATTATATGCAACGCCAAAATAATCTTGAGGTGCTTCACATAAGCGCTAATATCTCGTGATTCAGTGACCAGAATTAGATGATCTAACCACCATTAGATTCATCTCGATGAGACGAATCGAATGGCACAAAAAGTATCTGATTCGGGTTACTATATCACGAGATAACCTAAATTCGCCACAATACCACCACCCACTCTAAAATTTAACTTTTTTGTACGATACACAACCCTAAAAATTGCTTCTTCAAAACAATCTTCTATATTACCAATTTATATATAAATAATTCTAAATAAATACCGTAGACTTCCGAAATTAAGCACCCTTTTTTTGCATCTAATGCTGGCCAAGGTCATCGTAATGCAGGCCAAAATTGGTTTAGTGCGGGCCAGGGTGCTTATTTTCGGAATTATACGGTATATAATTTAAATAAAAATAAAATTTTTTTTTATAATATTAATTTTTCAACTTCGCCAAAATACCCTCTTTTACCCTAGAAAATACAGCATATTTACCTTAGAAAATACAGTATATGGGGGTGAGTCAGTAGAAACGCACCAAATCTTTTTTAATGAAATTTTTTTGAATCTTTAAACAAAAATAACTCAACAAAAACTTAACTAAATTTAATACAATTTTTTTAAAAATAAATTCTACAAGTTTATAGAATTAATTTAAAAAAATTTAATAAAATTTGCTTAAATTATTGTTGAGTTATTTTTGTTCAAAGATTTAAAAAATTTACTTAGAAAAAATTTGGTGCGTTTCTACAGACTCACCCCCATATAATTTCTCTCCATATATCGCACAGTGCGATACTCTCATTTGCCGCCCAACCAATCAAATTCCAAGACCAGGTGTAACGTAAAAAATACAAAAAACCGTATTTTTTAAAAAATCACCAATACCTCAAAATTTTACATAGGAAACACCCTTCATGTTCTATCAAAAAAAATTCCTCGCAAACTTTTGATATAACTTTAACCCGAAACTGAACTTGCCCTAATCCTAATTAAAACAAAGTAAATCATTTTTTTTTGTTGTTTTGATCTCACGTTAAACCTGTTCGTATAAGTGCGATATATAATTGTGTCGCATGGTGCGATACATACATTTTTTCTTAATTTTATAGCTTTTCTTTAAAAAATTTATAAAATATATCCGTATATCATTTAAAATAACAAGGCTACCACCAAAACAGTAATAAAGGCAATTTTAATATTTATTACAATATTCGTTTAATAAATTTATGTACAATATTTAACTTAGTAATTTTATTACATAGCATTTTTAGTAGAACTTGCTAACCATCATTTCGCCAACAACCTACATCTAGCCTTCACTAAACTATAAGTAAGGCCAATCCTACCTTAAATCGGTCAACCTTGTCTGCAAACCAGTTGTTAGCGAAATTGTTATCTCTTTAGGTACGTACGTATACGTGAATATATATAACAATCATTGAATTATTGCAGTATGAAATAATAAATAGGATACACCGACTTTAATACTTCCCTTTAATTGATTAGATAAAAATACCAATAGAAAAATAAGCAATAAATTTGTTTAATTATAAGTAAATCAAATATTACTTACCGCCAGGGATTTCATAATCAATGGATTGACTTACTAAAATATGTATATATAAATATACCGAAATTACAGGTTAAATCCAATGTAAGAAAATAAATATCATTACCTGCATTTACTATATTGACAGATTCGGAAATTTTTATAGTTAATCTCATTGACTTTTAAAAAATATAATAATAAATGTTATTACCTGGTTTAGGGAGGTTTGAAAGATTCAATAATCGACTTGTATAAGTAGCTTGTGGATGTGTCTGATATTTAAACAATGATGGTTTGACTTGATCATGTGATAAGAAATTTTTGTCTAAATCTTTAATA